GATGATAATAAGCCTGATGCGCTAAGATTAATAATCGTTTCTCGATCTTTAACGATCTGAGAAAGGTCAATATCAAATGACGTAGTTTTTTATGTTGGCTTTTCGGTTACGTAACCTATATAGAATATTAGCCATTATTTTCGAGTTAATCTCGTCGTTCTCTCGCTAAATTGGATAGCCGCTGCTAGATCATTGGCGTAAAGTAGTATACTTTCAAGTACAAATATTGTGTCTCTGCCAAACCCTCAATCTTCCTAGACAGTTTGAAGGCAGCCCAAGTAAGTTGCAGAAGGTTGCGATAAATCATCAAGGGAAAGTTTCAGGTGGATAGAGCCGAGCAGTGCGGATAATGAACGATTCCATCACTGAGGCGACTCCATTTGATTTGGAACCCACCTTTTTGTATCCTGTTGTCACTTGCTACCTGGTTATCTCGTTAGTTGCTTTCGTTGGCAACCTCTCTGTCTGTTACGCCATACTCGCCGACAGAAAACTCCGCGACAATCCTACAAAACTCTTGTTGTTGTCTTTGGCCATCTCGGACCTTCTCACAGTAACCATTGTCGTGCCATTTGACATCGAATCGCTTTTATTACATGGACTGTGGAAACACGGAGAAGCTTTCTGCATAAGTTGGCTTACAGTGTACCTTATCACTGTATCTAGCTCGATTTTGACGCTTTTAGCCATCAGCGTGGATCGATATAACACCCTTCGTGATCCTCTCGCTCGGTTTCGACGTTCGCATTTCATGACCAAGAAGAGAGCTGTAACAATCTCCCTGCTAATTTGGATTTACTGCATTTTATGGTCTCTGCTTCCCACCATTGGGTGGCGAGATGGAACTATAGAGCCGATCTTGAAGGGAGCATGTGTAATACCATACACTAAGGTTTACCATATGCTCAGTTCTCTCTTAAATTTTATACTCCCATTGCTGGTCACATGTTTGTTTTATATCCTGATTTATCGCATTGCCCGCAACCATGGAACCAAGGGTAACAACGGCGCTAGCTCACCGTCAACCAAACAGACTACTAAAGAAGGACGCAAAATCTATTTGAAGAATATCAAAGCAGCCAAGACTACTTCGATGTTCGTCTTGGCCATTTTCTTCTGCTGGCAGCCATACGCGTATTTCAGCATGGTGGTCACCTTGGGTGCTTTGAATCCAATTTCTTACGAAGTTTTCCTGGTGCTGCTGATGCTTGGCTATCTTAACTCGGCGCTTAATCCGTTTTTGTTTACCTTCCAAAACAAACATTTTAAAGCTGTACTGCTAAAGCCATTCTCTTTATTTTAGCAGCCCTGATTGGTTCGTTGTTATAATTTTCAACTGGAGCTCGACGAAAAATGAACATCGTCACAATTGATCTTAC